CCTAGCAACAATTAACGACCACAATACCCACTAAAACCGTTATTAGACCGCATGTGTATCTCCAAGGTGATGGTTGTGTTGTCTGACAAGCCTGGACAGGCAAGCCTCTCCAGGCATAAAGGGGAGGTAAAGCCGGTGGCTATGACCCCCAGGAAAGATTCCAGTGACTGCCTGCACTGTGCTGTCCCGACTCATGACCTATGACCTGGTACTAAATTTATTTTCTTTCAGAAAATGGCACCGAGTATTCTAATCGCCAAGAAGAAGGGTCTGAGCATGGTGGTGAAGATCCCGCTGACCGCAATCCCCAGGACGATCACGGGGACCAGGGCACGGGAGATCAAGCCGGCTCAGACCCGGGAGACTGACGGCGGAGATGAGAGCCTTCGCCTGCAGACACTCGCCACCATGCCGGGATACCAGGAGGGAGTGGGGGCTCAGACCATCGAGCCCACCACAACCCACTCGACAGAAGACCCGTCGGCCTGGTATATCCAGGACATGGTGGACGAGATAGAGCGGGAGAAGGCTCGCCTGGAGGTCACGGAGGCGGAGGACCAGCGACCGCCGCGCCCCCTCCCGGTGGGACAAGAGCGGGAGCGCCTCCTCCGCTGGGCCCTCACGTTCCAGACCCGCGTTCCTGAAGCGGACTGGCGACGGAAGGAGCGTCAGCGGATGGAGGTTGTTCGGGCCATCCGCGAGGAGGCCGGTGCGGCGGTTGAAGAGGAGGACGGCGGAGCAGTCGAGACCCTATCTGAGCATGGGACCTCCAAGTCCCATTGCTCGGATACCTCTAAGGGTTTCCGGCTGTCATTGGATGGACAGGCGGAAAAAGAACTGGCGGACTACCTGGGCGGCGATGCGGAGTCGGTACCAGATGGGAAGGGGGAAGTCACCAACCCCCAACCTACTGGACCATCGACTCCGCCCCCAACACTCCGTCGCCCAGGAGTGGTACCATCACCACTCTCCACCGCCACCGCCTGGACCACCATCGCTGAGAACACCACCACCTCAGCCACCGCCGGGACCACCATCACCTCAGCCTCCGTCCAGAACACCACCACCTCAGCCGCCGCCTGGATACCGACCACCCTGACCATGACCACCAGCGCCCGGAACACCACCACCTCAGCCACCGCCTGGATGACCACCACTTTGACCACGACCACCACCTCACCGACCACACTGATCACCAGACCAATACCGACCACCACCGCTCTGACCACTACAACCACCATCAATGTCCGACCACTGACCGACCCCGAAAACACGGTACAGCCAGCAATATCCAGAAACCAAGGTCACCCTGGCTGGCTGCCGGTGACCTCGGCAACTCCAAGGACCGACAGAGTACCGACCAACCCAACCCACGCCCAGGGTGGACCCGGTCGACAGGCCGGAGATACAGAACCTGCACTACCGGACGGCCAGCGGGAAACGCCGCAGGTACAACCCGCGGCGGCATCTTGAACTGGACGACCTGGTGGGTGCGGGTGATGAATCCGGGGAGGGGTCCGATTACGATCTACCAGGACCCCCCATCGACCGGGTTAGGCAGACCACCGCCAAAATGCCATCCTGGGGCAGCCTGCCTCGTCGAACAGGGGCAGGCTTCGGACATTTGACGGAGATTCCGACGGACCCCACAGTTGACCCACCACTCCGTGCCTGCTTCAACTGCTGGCAACTGGACCACAATTTCGGGAACTGCCCAAAGCCTAAAGATGGGCAGTTCTGCGGGAATTGTGGTCGCAGGGGTGTGGATGTGTTCAACTGCCCGAGGTGTGCCAAGGCTTATGAGCGGAGGCACACACCTTCGGGCAGGAACAATCCGGTGGACCCACCAGCTATTCCACCGAGACATCCACACCCGCCTAGCGGCCGGAGGGGGTGGGCGGACGAGGGCATAATACCATCCACCTCGTCCGGGTCCGGATGGGATAGACGACCACCGGACCACTATACGGAACAGCATGCTGACCGAGACCCCAACCGAAACACCGACCACGCTGACAATCGACCACTGACCTGTCGACCCCGAGACCTGGAAGAATCGCCACCCTCCTACCAGGAAGCCACTCGGGGTCGATCACCGACTAAACGACCGACCTCCAGCACCGGGGCGATACCCCGCACCAGACTCCCTACCTCATCGGCCAGGCCATCGGCGGAGGAACGAGCGAGAGAACTGGTGCGGAGGCCCAGGAACCGGGCGTCAGAAGATGAGGCCGACGCTGACCTGCGCCTGAGGGAGCTACAACAGCTCCAACGCACCCTCCAGGAACTGGAAGCGAGGGAGTGGCGCGACCGCTCCCGCAGGCGCGGGTATCACTAATTTGAAAAAAAAAAAAAAAAAAAAAAAAAAATATGGAGAGACCTGACCAAAATAAATGCCAGGGTTATACCCTGGCTTAACATATCCGACCGGCCATTTATTTAAAGACCTGACCTTTCTGACCAACCAATAGTTCGTAAAAATCTAGTGACATCAACGAAAGGATGCAGCCAAGCAGACCAATTCGACCAGGCGCCCAATGGTAGCAGACCATGGTACCGGGGGGGAAACCCCAACAGGTAAGATCCAGACATACAGGGTAAGCTGAGAACGTGGCGGCGAGAACAAGGGAAACGGCAAACGGACGGTACACCTGGTAGTGTACCGGCTTAGGGGGGGGTTCTGTAATGCGGTGCATTACAAGGCCTTTTCAGAGAGTGTTGCGCTATTTGCAACACCTCAGAAAAAGCCATCCCTGTCCCTTGCCGCCCCGTAGCCAGCTGAAAATACTTAATTAAAACGCGCCTAATGCGAAAATCATACATTTTCCCTTACATGTTAACCACAACCGAGTAAATAAGGAAAACAGACGAGCTGTCGCGATCCGACGGATGGCGAAAAAAAAAAAAAAAAAAAAAGAGCGCACGAGAGAGAGAGCACATGCACACACTCCTGACCACGTGTTGCCGGCGGGCAAGAAAAACGAGAAAACTTGACTGGGAAGTGCAGCGGAAATGCACGTAACGGCACGTGCCGACCCGTTACACTCCCAGACACTGACACTGACACCCGGAGCACGCTGACACTCCTGGGGCGAACAGAAAATCGCCGATGAAGCGGCAGCCGGCAATCAGCTGAGTCAGACTGCTGCGCACCATCGACGACATCCTGAACGCCACACACACACTTGAGATGAACCACTGCCGACACTCACACACAACACTCCGAAACCGCACACGACCGAAAAACGGAGCGCTCCAGGAGGCGCTACGATTACCGGCATCGAGACACGAGGTGCACGCGTTAAAGAGTAGGCGGCCATTTTGGAGCGCTAAGCTAGACAGAACGGCAGCGCGGTAGACTAAGCGGGAGTGCGAGCGAGATAGACTAATTGAGGAGAAGAGAGAGCGATGATAGATAGCGAGCGATCCGAAAAAAAAAAAGAGAGAGATAGATAGATTACTAAAGGCGCGCCTATAGTTGACTCAAAATTACGATATTTATTTGTACGCGTATGCGAATTAATTGTAAATAAATGTAAGGCGATTTAAAACTTGTTTTAAATTTAGAACTAACTTAAATTAAATGCATTAATTATAGTTGAACCGTATCGTATGGATTAAATAATGTATGTAATTTCGCACGCTCTTATACACTTGAAAGCGATAAGCCGCGCATTTATTGAAATTAATAGCTAGCCGATGAAATTTGAAACTCTGACGAAATTCGCTGATGACGTCACGACCAATAGGCAAATCATTAGGATATTTGATTTCCGTCCTCATCAAAATTCCGACAAGAGTAGGGATGAACCTGTCTCTTAGATTAAATGCTGACCGACCTAGTGGGGGGTGAGAGAGGGTAAAAATTGATGCGTAATAGATAAGACGAGGGCGCTGTTACTTTCTTAATTTACATATTGACCAATAACGACATACTCGGAGGGCGCTACCGATATCCGAATTTGCATATCGGCCAATAATAGTGTTTCTTCTCGGAAAGAGGAGAGAATGAGAGATCTTTGACCGCGGAGAACCGTTTCTCTTCCATTTTGCCACTGGATCTCGCCAAGGACAGTTCCGAGCGGAGTAGTGATAGCAAATAGTTCTGTGATTTCTTTTTGTGAAGGATTTATCGCCGCACAGTTTCCAAGTAAGTAGTGGAAGTGTGACTGACCTTCGCGAATAGTTAGGGTATTAGGATACGAGTAGACCGTAATTCGCCGAGGCGCGTGGATCCGTCGCGGTCGCGATTACGAGTTCTGACCGAAGCGCGTTGACCTTCCGCCATTTCAGTGCGCGGTGTATGGCTTTAAGAATAAATGAAGTTAACTTGATATTGCGTTCCGGTAATTTCACCTAAGTTCCAATATTTTCCTCTGCAAATTATTTTCAGCCGCGGACGGAATTTTATAAGTGAAATTTTGAATTAATTTTCTCTTTACGGTTCCGAAACGTACGATTCGACGAAACACGACCTGAGACAAAGGAGTGAGAGCTAAGCGGCCGGATATCCTCTGTGATTCTGCTGGAAGCAGGATATTGGACATAAAGGATTGATTTGAACGAGTATATCAGGACGAACATCGTCGGAGCTTAAGTGATTTTTCAAGTTTCGAACAGTTTTGGAATTTTGAAATTACATTGCCCGCTCTGCGCAGTCGCACGGCGGGCAATTCTACCGACGAATTCGCCGTTGACTCGATTTTCCAACGATCACTGTAGGTAAGGGCGGTGATCTGACACCCTGCTACCAAAGTTAGGAAAATCACGTGCAACGAAAATTGGTGTTGGCGATTTTAGCTGGTGAGGCCTACGCCCCCCGAAATCCCCTTTCACAAATTTTATAAACTTTGAGATGAGACTGAAAATCTAATTTGAATGAAAATGTAACATTACAAATCCGTTGTTTTTATACTGGCATTATATAATAAATTAAATTCTTTGAAACCCTAAATAATAAATATTACTTTTATTTTTTTTTTAAATAACCTTTGGTTATGTTAAACCTTTATTTGTAAAACTGAGTTCAAGTAATCTAAAATAGAGTTCAAAATTTTTTTATTTTTAATTATTTGTGGTTTACCATCCACTTCACCTACTAATAAAGCTTTTGTGTCATCAAATCCTTTTGTTTTGAAATGTATAACTAAGTTTTCATAAGTGATACCAGCATAAGCTAATCTTTTTTGCATAGCTTTACTAATAACATCATCCATGGGCTTGAACGAAGGTATTATTTCTTTGGCGTCTTTTTCCTTTTGCATGCGTTCTGAAATATCTTTGATTGTTTTATTAGATTCTATCAAATCAAGAACACTTATAAAAGAAGTGGTTAGTTGTTCTAATAAAATGACATCAACACTAGCATCATGGGCACCATTGCATGGAAGTGCCAATAATTCTTTTGCTAATGTTGTAAGTTTATACCCACTCTCTCTTTTTGGAAACTTATCTTTAAAAAGTAGCAGAGTGTCAGAAAATCCTTGTATCACATTTTCAAATTCATCTATCAAAGATAATTCTTGCATGGAGGTAATCATACGTGTGGAGTCAAAATTACAATTGTGCGCAACTAGTATACTTTTTTTCTCAAAACTTTTTAAAAAATTTAAGAGTTCACTAAAAACTACTCGTTTTGGTAAAGTTGCAATTTCATGCCCATGTAAAAATAGTTTTTTATGAACTTTACTTAGGCCATTTACGTTTGTTGCACTTGAATTAATAGATTTGGTTGGAGTAATATATGCACTGAATATTTTATTCCCACATTTTACACATATTTGCAGTATGTCATGTTTATAACTAAAACCTCCAGTTTCTATATCAAAAAATGCAATATTGAAAGCATTAGATTTATAATTCAAATAATTGTCAGTAACTAGTTTGATACAGTCTTCCTTTCTTGCTTTTTTGTTATCCAATAAATCCATATGACTTTCATAAGTTTGTCCTTCAGCACTTTCCTTTTGATACTTTAACTGGGATCTTTTTGCTTGTCTTTGCAATCTAAGACTTTTATATGATATCTGACTTCTGCGTTCTCTTCTTTTTTACACAAGTTTATTAGACTTGTTTATGTATTTTTCAAATGGTTGATTCCAAGGAAGAAACATTTTTACCATGGTGCGCTGAAGATAGCTATCTCCACAATTTTTTTGTGCTACTGAAGCAGCAAATCTAAAGTCTGCAGATTCAGAGGTGCTATAACACACACTTTTTCTAGCTTTGCTGCACATGGTATTATTTAAGCTTTCATTAGCTTGAGAGCTTGGTGCTCCAACAAACTTTGCAGCATTTTAGGAAAGTTGCAAAAAAGTTTCTTTGAGGATATCAAACAATATTGCATTTTTTAGTCTGATCCCTGTTGAATTTTCCTTTTCTCCACCACCTGAGCACCAAGAGCCACACTTGTCATGGTGATCAAACAAGTGATAAGGAATATTCAATAAATTAGCTTCAATATCTTGTACTAATTCTTTATGAGTATGAATTACATATGAAAAACATCTTTTTATATGAGTAATTACATCATTTGACAACTCCTTATCTGGATCTTTTGATTTATCATCTCTTATCTTGTACAACATACTGGCAACCCCCCTTGCAGAGTGATTAGTATCACTTTGCTTGACAATTTCATAACTCGCTTTTTCTTCAATAGCTACAATGCTGGAACTATCATTGTCTCCAACCAAAACACCAACTTCTAAGTTAGCTTCTTTCAATATTTTACTGTGCAGTACCAACTCAACTGCTCCATCAGCTTCCATACTCTTTGCACTGCCATCAAAATTCTTTCTACAGTCGTGTTCTTTTTCTTTTCCAGTACGTTGTTGCACATCACATTGCTTGCACTTTCTATTTCTTGTACAAAAGTCTAATACTTTGCCACTTTTTAATCCAATGATAGCACAATACCCATTCAAACTGTCATATGTATGACCGTTACCTCTCATACTCCATCCCATATCATAAGACACAAACACTCTCAGGATAGGTAAGTGATTAGGTGATGGATTTTCAATGACAAGGAAACCTTCTTGTAAATGTGTAGGTCTAGGAAAGGAAAAGAAGTGATATTTTTTATAATAACACACATTTAACTTATGAGTAAAAAAAAATTTATTATAAATTTAAAAAAAGTATGTGTATAAATCTTGGTTAAATCAATTGATTATTATATGTATAAAATTTGCTGTAAATAATATCAAATTACAATAGTAATAGTAGTAAGTGTATAACTTTTGTAAATAAAATACAAAATTTATAAAAAAAATACAATATAAACCTAAAATAAATTTTCACTAAAATTTTTTGTCGTAGATACATTGTTGAATCATAATTAATAATTGAGATAAAATCAACTTAAAATCACTTCATACTAATTTTTACAATACATTTTCAAGATAAATTAATTTATGCCAAATTTAAACTTACAATAGCTTTTTTAATTCTTCTACACTTTCTAAAGTAAGAGTCCTCTCCGTTGTAGCAGCTTCTAAACAACTTTCTTTTGCGACTTCTTCAACAATAGGTCCAATAATTCTCTCATGAGTTTTGTAAAGATTTGAATTCATACCAGGTAAATCAAGAATGTTTAGGTATGTATCTGCCTCGGTTTGTCCAACTCCAGTGTGTATCGAACCTTTAAAAAAATTGTTATTAGATTACTATTATCAAAATATTAGTTAAAAATAATCGATCATTACAAACATACATACCTAATGCAGCTTTAGTATTTACAGCAAAAACACTTCTTCCAGTAACAGGATTTTTGTATTTTTCACTACTAAGTACTTTGTTTATAGTCGAACATTCAGTGCACTTAATTTTGATGATAGATCCCAAGCCTTGTACAATATCTTCTACTATATTTTGTAATAGCAAAGGATTTTTACATAGCTTGCAATACATTTGCTTTGAAAGGTATTCTAAATTAATTATTCTATTTCCCATGATCTTATTTCTATATTTTCCGACACTATTTTTCTCTGTCTGCTGCTCATCACATTTTGCTTTATTTTCTGTTGTATTTTTGTCTATCGTTTTCCTCCGTTTTTTACAATTGTTCGACCTTTGAAGCATGGTATAATAAACATTTTTTTTAACATACTTTCCTTTCCACCTATACATTTTATAACAATTACTTTTATCAAATAAGATTAACACGTCCTAAAAAGAGGTTATAAATCTCTTTTTATAAACAAACAGTTGTGAGCGAACGAATGAACTGTATATATATAGCATAGTGATGCGCTATTACCAAGTTTACTTGTTACCCCTCTTGCAACTCCCCCCCCCCCCCCCCCCCCCAGTTAAAAGGTATAAGACTCCTTAAGGGAACAGAGACGATCGATATTTCTTCACGTACTTACATTGATAAGGCCAATGACGATGAAGCTCCAGCTGCTAAACGGAGAAAGAAGAATGCCGAGCAGAAATTGAAATATCGAAAGGACAAGAAATATCCCTACAACCCAGCTAGTATTGAAAATGAGGTAGATACTCTATACTGATTACGAAATTGAACATTATTCTTTAGTGATCGAACTAGTTCGAAAAAAATGAATTATTTACAGTTTTGAATCGCAAGCTTTCAGAGATTACACGTCACAAATCTAACGCTACTTCATACTTTGATTTCTTAGGCTTAAAAAATATATGAACGAAAGTAAGTAGCACGTTATATAGGCACGTTTATTTTTCAGGATGAATTTGGTGATAATGCCGTGGATGAAGTTCCGAAAGACCACGAGAAAGAGAGCTGCGAAAGAGAGAAGATAAAAAAGCATAAGCAGAAGAAGCATGCAGAGGTTAGAACAAGAGAGGTTTCAAACGAAAGAGAAAGAGAGATGGCAGAACGAAGAGAAAGAGAGTTGGCAGAAAGAAGAGAAAGAGAGTTGGCAGAACAAAGAGAACGAGAGCTGGCAGAACAAAGAGAACGAGAGCTTGCAGAAAGAAGAGAACGAGAAGCGCAGGATGGAAATGAAAAAATTGGTGTAAGTAATTTTTTTGCATTTGGGTTTTTTTGTTGTCATTTAATTTTCTATGATCGTCTTGCAGAATAGAAATCCCGAAGTCCAGCGCCGAAACGTCGGCAATGGCAATTTCAATAACGTGAGTTATATGTATTATTTGGGTTATTGGGTTCGAACAATTCGACTGAAGCTCTGAAGGCTACTATTTTTATTCACTACGTCTGGTGAAAATTAATTTTCTTTTTTATTAGGCCAACGAAGACGAAGAAGAAGATCCATTGAGAGAATGTCGAACACACCAGCCTGGAAAAGTTGTTCCGTCGTCACGGAAAGAGAGAGAGAGTGTATGTGTGTGTGTGCGACTTGTAGGTGCGCCCCGAAGTGGCGGCGCCACCTACTTGCGCGCGCGTTCGTCTTTTCTCGCTCGCGCAAAAAGAAGGGGAGGGAACGGGTTCGCGCGCGTTTTTAAGTCTGTAGGTCACGGCCAGCACGAGAGGAAGGAAGCAAGACCAGAACGTGAGGAAGTCATCGCGCGAGACAAAGGAGATCGCACCCGCCGATCTCACGCGTCCGGAAAATACGAAAATCGCAGAAAAACGTACTGCGTACCGCGACGCGAGTTTCGCAATCAAGGTCGCGAGCGAATCCGCCGTGAAAATTCCGTCCATAAAACAACTAAACGAGGGTCGACCACGTCGACAGCGCCTTCGGGACAACACACGGGCCGACCACGTCGGCAGCGCCTTCGGGCCATCACACGGGCCGACCACGTCGGCAGCGCCTCCGGACCAACACCAGGGTCGACCACGTCGACAGCGCCTGCGGGCCAACATTTCTACAAGTGTGAGTGAGTGCGGTGTGCGGGAGCTCCCCGGGTTCGGGTCGCGTTCGTGCGCGTCGTGCGTGCTGTCACGAGGCAGCCGGTTTTTCCGCGCGCGCGTGCGGGCTGCGAAAAGCCACGCGATCGCCGCTTTTCCCGCGCGCGCCGTAGTACGGCCACGAGACTGCCATTTTTGTGTGCGATTATACAAAGACTTTTATGCGTGCGTGCGAGCGAGTCAAACCCGTCACGTCACCTCTTGCAAAAGTGTTTTGTTCCTTTGTTTTTACATTCAATTCTAATTGCGAGTTCTTTGTCATCTGATATTTTGATTTCTCATTTTTTTCTTTTTTTTGTGTTGTGTTCAAATAAATGGGTTTTTTATGCCGCAAGGCTTTTTCCCAAAATACGTGAGATTCATTTCGAAAACCTTAATCATTTTCAAATAAAATTTAATAGTGCTGACATGCCACCTAGGGTATGCCAGGGTTCAATCAAATAATTTCAAAAGTTCTCATTTCGAACGACTTTGCTGAAGTGTGGATCAAATCTTCAGAGCTAACCATGTTGTGTAGATGGAAGAAGAAGCCGAAAGAAATGGCACGCAGACTCCTGAAAATCTTGGTTGGCCGTGAAAATTTGAAGAACATGTTCGCTCGTGGAAATAAGCCCAACAGAGAAGGGATTCCAGCAGATATCGTCGGATGTGTCGAGTGTAAGTTTCAAATAA